TTTTATATTATTTAGATAATTTTTTATTAAGTTATGAATAAATAAAGAATTCCAAAAAGTTTTGTTACACACTGTATACCCAATCTTATTTTTTGTGACAAGCAGAAAAATCTTCATAAAAATCATTAATAAAAGACTTACTAATTATATTTTAAGATATAAAACCCTCTCAAAATTAAACTTCACTAGCCTTAAAAACCAAAGTACTACTGAGTCAATTGCAATTATTACCTTAAGCATCAATACTACAAATAATATTAATAAGAAAATTTGAATAGCATCATTTGACATTTTCAAAGCTTTTGATTTTATCAATTTTACCAATCTCAAGAAAGCAATAAATCATATCAAACTGTCAAACAAATTTACTTTACTTATTATCGATCTCCTAAATAAAAGAGAACTAAAAATAAGAATATATTATAAACTTATCAAACTTTTAAAAATAAGTAAAGGATTGACTAAAGGAAACCCCTAGCTCCACTATTCTAAACCATCTTTTATTACTTTATAGTAATCAAAATATCAACTAAATACTTTTCTACTTTCAAAATTCTTGTTTATATGGATAATATTACTTTAGCTAGCTCCAATATACAAGTTCTTCAAGAAGTAAAAAACATCTACTATTTCTTTTTGTTTTTTAATTCTATTAAATACAATTGTAAAAAAACTTAGTTAATTATCAATTTCAAAATATCTAATAAAAAAAAAACCCAATTTCTTATAGTTGAAAGAGAAAAAACCTATTCTACACTATATAATAAGGATATTAAATACCTTGAAGTTTATTTCTTCGACAAATATTCATCTTGTTCTATAAAAAACAAACTATTAAAAAAATTCAAAAGTTTATCAATGCAATTATATTGCAAAAGGATGAAATAGTTTGATAACCAGACAAGCTTCTTATTGGATTACATTAACATAACTAGAATATATTATTAATGTCACTGTTCCATTAAATAATGAAATGATTGTTCTTCAAAAGAAAATAAACAAACCAATCAAAATAAAATTAAATATTAAGTACATTATTTCCAATAAAATTTTATACTTACAAACAAATCTCAATATTGTCAAACATCAAAACTGTCATAATCTTATTACCATTAAAATTTTGATAGTCAAATTCATCAATCCAAAAATCTTTTCTACCACTTCAAGAAAAATTAAATCAATACAAGCCACTCAAACAATCTGGTACTATTCAATTTGTTTTTCTTATTATGTTATCAACTTATGGATAATATTAGTAACCTTACTAATCAAGAAATATAATATCAGAATCTGTTCACTCCCCTGCTTTTTTAATAATACTAATCCTGAGAACTCAATTGATTTAAACACCAAACTTACAAAAGCAACTGTTTTTTTACTATATTATACTAACATTAAAACTATTCATATATACATATACAAAAGAAACATCAAACTAACTTAAAAAAAATTACATATATACAAAGAACAAAGAACATCTAATCTTATCTCCAATTGGTTCTTTATTATTTCAAATATCTCTGTAACTATTTATGGTGGTACAATATTCCTTTCAAACAAAATAAAAATTAAATTTTGGGCTTTTTAAGATAATAATTTTATCAATTTTATCAAAATATGTATTAATGCTATTTCCTTCACAATTATTAAGAGCATCTATTACAAAAATTATTCCATGTAATAATAAAAGTTTATCCAAATTTAATAAAAAATTTATTGTAATCAAATTCATTATAAGGAACAAGTATACTTAATATATAAAATTGGATTTTATTAATAAAAATAAAAAGTTTAATGTATAATAATTATTTCATTTATTGGGAAGCACTGTATATATATATAATATATATTATAAGTACTATACTCCTTATTTATTTAATCATTGAAAAATATTAGGAAAATTCGAAAATGAAATATTGAATTGCCTTCGTTTATTAAATACATTGTAAATTAAATAATATGCTATCCAAGCATATAAAAATTTTTTTCATTTCTTTTTACCTGTTCTTTCTAACAATTCATTCCAGTAAATTTCGTGATTAAAAACAAAATTGTTTTTCCCTCCATATCTTGTTTCCAATTGATCTTCATCAATATAGTCAAAAATCCGGACAAGATGATGATTTTTGTTTTCACTATCGGATTTTTCAAGGTCCACAAACTTTATTTTATCTTTGGTGACTGGATCGATGAAGGGAGAAATAAGTTTGAAGAAACTCCAGAAATACCAGGGAGCTAGAATAAAATGCAAAGAAAAAAATTTTTTTTTTTCAGCAAATTATTTTTCCCGAGAACGAAACGATAAATTAAAATTTACCATTAATGACCAGAGCCATAGCCAACCTTTCCGGATAATGAGATCCCAAAACATGCATGAATTCTTTAGCAATCCCCAAGCCGGGGCTTGAACGAACGGAACAATTTTCAAAATCAACGATGATAATTATGTTTTCCACATTTTCCGGCATTATAGCAATCGCGCTTTCAAAAGTAAATACTACATTCTTCACTTGTCGTGGTCCAGCTTTAGTATTTTCCAAACCTGGTCTAAGATAAACTATAGGACGACCATGTTTGTCGAATCCGTTGAGATGCATTTTACCCGTAAGGATCTTTTCCATGTTTTGTTAAATACGTTAGCGTTGATCATTGAATAAACAGTTTCCATCTAAAAAAAAAATTACCTCGGGCTCTACTTCTTTGGGATCAATATCGAAAGGTTTATATTCCCTTCCCCATTCTAAACTGCTTTTTATTCTATCTTTAGCTTCATCTAAATTCCACTTAGAAGCCCGAAGGTAGCGTTTCAGGCAACCCTCTGAAGCCCATTCCCGCTCTCTCTGATAATTTGAATCTTCAGGCAGTAATATGGTGGACACGTACTTAGAAAGTTCATTGTATTTCTCCTTTTGCTCCTCATTAAGTTCGGGAGGCAGTAAAGGTGAGTATTTTGAGGGTGCAAATATGGGAATGTTAGTAGTTCGTTCGTCTTCCATATTAAATAAGTCGGTATGCTAAACATATGCGGCAATATGTGTATTATTTTGTCACGTGCGATAATGCGTCGCGCTTCTATTTGTGTCATGCTACGCCATCGTGACATCATGCAAATTATTAAGCCTCCTTAAAGTTTCTATTGCGTCTGTCGAGAAAACCCGTGAACGAAATGTCTTACCAAAATCCGGCAACCTTTTCTCCATACACATTACCTCCGGACGAACAAAAAGCAAAGACGAACCGAAATTCGACTCGTTACACACCTGTTCCTAGCGCTAGCACCACGGCGTCATCTTCAGCAAATCCCTTCGCTGGGGTCTATCGGACAACAGAGCAGTTACCTGACGGTCAAATAAGAGTTAATAAATATGAGACCAGTTTATCTATAAGGTATAAAACAAGATCGTGCTGGTTTTTTTATTTTAAACAACACGCGGGGGTTTTTTAACCTGCGGGTCTAACAATTAAAGCATTCCTCATTCCTCGCGTTAGAGTTGACATCGAAGCGGCCATGACTTATTGCCTAGGCTGCATCACTGGTATTTTGCTTCTAAACTTTGCATTACCGGTTTATTTCTTATTATACCTTATTTTGTTAACACAAACGCTGCAATTCGCGTTAATTTTTTATTCTCAGGGGTCTTGTTTTTAATAGTTGAACAGAAGAACGATTATGTGCGATTTCATGCATGGCAGGTAAGTAATTTTATAAACTCTGGATTCATTTTGTGTCTTTCAAACCAAAATCGTGACCCTTCTATTATTTATTTTTTTTTATGAAATAATACAGTCCTCGATCTTGTTTGCGCTCCTCTTTGTAATTATCACATGTATACTTTTGAAATAATCATTTACCTCTTCACTAATTGGCCTGTGTTTATGATCCCCATTAGGCCATTCATTTTATTATGTTATTTATTTCAAGTTTCTTGAGTTGGATTTTATTGATAATTGAAATAGGACTTATTGGATATCTCGCGTAGGTCATTTTTCAAGTAGTCACGATCGTCTTCATAAAGTGAATGCATAAGTAACAAACCTTATTCTATGGGTTAGTTATAAGGCATACTTGGACGGTGTATCACTCGAGCGATTTGAGCTGCCACTTTTTGGAAAGCTAGCTAGTTCATGGGTTGACAGCGAGTAATTAGTCCGATCACAAGGTTCGAATTGAATAGTAAAAGTCATTTTCATATATATACATATATATATATTAAGAAATTTAATTTGACAAATATTTTATTACACTTTTTAAATCATAGCTTTAAGCGAAATTATTACCGAAATTCACAATTTGCATATTTGAATGTTTTTTTTTTATATAGTTATTTTGGCATTTGGGAAACCATTAATCGAACTTTTCAATGAGTGCACTCACGAATCCCTCGATCTCATTATCATTAGTCATTTACGAAGTATTACTTATTGGTATTAATGAATTGCATAT